TCTGCTGGGCACGGCCCACGAGCTGCTCTGGTGCTCCAGGAGCTGTGACAGCTGAGGTGCTGCTTGTCTTTGTAGGTTCAGAGGAGACCAGAGGTACCACAGGTCCCTTTCCAGGAGCGTTCCACGGCATCAGCACACCAGTAACATGGAATGTTGGAGCTGTCAGTGTTAAAAGTTAGTTTTATAAGCAGTTGCTATGGTAATTAGCAAATGTGCATAAACCATTTGGAAAGGCCCCCCTTGCCACTGGGGTTTGCTGGTGTTGCCCTGGAACACAGAGTGTTTTTGCTGATGAGGTTCTCCAGGTCTGGAGTGTTCAGTGGGAGTTGTTCTGGTGAGTTCAGCATTCACAGGTTCCTGCACACTTGGGTTTCCTGCTCTTTCCTGCTGTTTGCCTGCTACAGGTAACACTGGGAAATCTCTCCCTTTCTAAGTTGACTTCACTGGAGATTTCCCCTTCCAGCAGAAAGTCAAGTTCCAGGTTGCACACCATGTGTGTGCCCAGCCCCTCTCTGCCCTTGCAGGGACTCGGTATCTGTGGGATAACTGCAGGGATTGGAGAGGTCCCTGCTGTACTTAGGACTCCCCTTCATCTTAATGAGCGCTCAAAAATAGCAAAAGAAATTATAATGGTGGGACTTTCACATCTCAAAGAAAGGACATGTATTATCAAACCCTCTCTTCATTAGTAATGCCTCCCGACTGGAGAAGGAACAGCTGGTTTTTCTGAGGAAGTTCTCTTTTCAGCTGGATGCCAATGTTGATGGTTTCTGAAAGATTTCCCCTCTGCTGTTCTTGGAGTTGTTGCGTCTTCTTGTGCATCTTCTGGCTCGGGCTAGAAGCAGATTAAAGTGAGCATCATTTTTGGGGTGCCATCGAGGCCTTTCTGCTCTGCACCCATAGGCAGTGTTTGACCTGGCTCCAGTCAAAGTGTTTGTTTCAGTTAATGTTCCCTGGTACGACTCACGTGGCCATGTCAGTGCAGCTGCTTCCCTTCAGAGGGCTGAAGGGTCCCCCCTGTCGGCACAGCCCTTTCAGGAGGGCAGAGGAGTGACCTGCCCTGTGCTGCTGCGGCAGACAGTTCTGCCCTTTCCTTCCTGTGTTAAAGTGGACGAATCTGTTGCTTAATTCAAAGCTCTGTTGAGCGCAGGGCATTTTGCTCTGGGCAGCAGCTGATCCTGGGTGATGACATCTTTGGTCAGCGTGACTCAGGAAGTGCAGATGGGCTCGTGGGCCGTCCCTGTCCCTCTGCCCTCCCCAGCCCCTTCCAAGGCTCCACTTCTCCCTGGGGAAGGTGAGCCCCATACCTGCAAACAGCCAGCCCACAGCCATGGCTGGGTTGGGCTTCATGCTCGTTCCTTCTCTTCTGCCTCTGCTGTTGTCTCAGCCCGACAGTTGGTGGGGTTTGACGTCTGTTTAAGCCCCACATTTTGGAACCCTTTGTGTTTCCAGGCGGCAGCACAGCGCTGTTGTCTGAACGCTTTGCCAGCCCCTAATTGCTGTGACACATGTAACTAATGGTGTTTGGTGCTTTCAGGGGGTGCACTAAAAAGGTGATGACATATGAGGCAGTGAATGAGGCTCTGTGCAGCCCGGGCAGGCGAGTTTGTGCAGACCCAGACCTGGAGCAGCGCAGGGAGCGCCTTCCTGTGCCCAGCCGTGCTTCCCGGCAGCTGGGGCTGGTTTAGCCTGGGCTGGTTTAGCCTGGGCTGGTTTAGCCTGGGCTGCTTCACCTGGGCTGGTTTACCTGGGCTGCTTCACCTTGGGCTGTCTCCCCTGAATTGTGTCCCCATGACTGTCTCCCCAGGGCTGTCTCCCCATGACTGTCTCCCCATGACTGTCTCCCCAGGGCTGTCTCCCCATGACTGTCTCCCCATGACTGTCTCCCCAGGGCTGTCTCCCCATGACTGTCTCCCCAGGGCTGTCTCCCCATGACTGTCTCCCCAGGGCTGTCTCCCCTGGGCTGTCTCCCCAGGACTGTCTCCCCTGGGCTGTCCCCGGCTGTGTCACAGCCCGAGGTTCCGAGGGACAGCCCAGCACCGTGCTGAGCCGTCCCTTAGCCTGGAGAAACCCCTTTTGCCGAGGCTTTGATTGGATTCCCAGGACTTGTGGCACTTCTGTCACCATCCACGTGCACACGTGCAGGGAAACTGGGAATGGGGATGAAGCTCCAAAAGAATAAATTCAGAATGCCCTCTCGTTTCTGTTTACTCCTCCACCCTCGTGTGATTTACGCTGATTGGAGTCTTTGAACTCCAGCCCCGTGAGCGGTGCCGGGGTTGGGGCTGGGGAGCTGCTGGGGGGGCTGTGGGGGCAGCCCCTGCTCAGAGCTCTGGGCAGTTTCAGTGCAGAGCTCCCCTTCCTTTGCTTAACCTCTGACCCCTGAAAACAAGAGTTAATCAAAACTTCTGAGGTAGCTAAGAGGAAGGGGAAGTGTTTGGTTACAAATTAAATATGAGCAAGTCATAAGCCATAAATCTTCAGCAGTGCTACCAGTTGTGCTACTTAAGTTCATGCGGTACAGAAAGTTTTGGATTATAAACTCAACCTCTGTTGCTTTGGAGGGGTGTTTAAAGGCTGCCTTGAGGATTTGCTTTCTGTAAGAAAAATTCACATATTTTCTTTTTTTTTTTTTTTTTTTTTTTGCTTGTGCAGAGATCTAGAAACAAATTGAGATAACTATATTGCTTGGGGTTTTTTTTCAGCTTTAACTGGTCACAGTTTGGTCTAATAAAAGCAGAACTGTTTCACTATTGAGTAGTCAACACATGGAATAAGTGATGAAGTAAAAGTATTGAAGGTGGCAGGATAAATTAGCTTTCTAATGCATCCAAAACTTCTGGGCTGAGGGAGATCCTGAACTGTGCTGTGGCAATGGGGGGAAGTGAAAACTGAAGCGAGATTGTCTACAGAATTTCCACCATTTTGTGGTGGGTTTGTTTTATCTTGTCTTGCCCCTCTCTCGAGCACAGCCTGACAGATCCCTGTGTGTTGGGGAGTGCTGAGTTCTGCTTCACACACCAGCTCATTTCCTCAGTTCCCAACCTGTGACACTTCTCCCCTCAAAATGGGACGTTCATAGAAAAAGCAGCAGGTAATGCTGAGATGCCAAACCATCAGCTGGAAAACAAGGCAGAGTTAATGTTACAGAAAGGACAATATGAGGTTCCCCAGAGGATAGTGGTGGGAGCAAAGGGAATGCCAAGGAGCCTGGCAGAAGTGCCCCAGGCCCCTGAGAGGGCACAGCAGTGGGGTGTGCAGGCAGTGCCTGGCCCTGCTTTGGCAGCTCGGCCCGTGGGGTCCCTGTGCTGCCAGGACTGCCCCACGGGCACCCCCAGCCCCAGGGAGGGGGGAGCCAGAGCCTGGGAACCTGCTTTGCCTTTCTGCTTTCACAGTACATGAGGCACATACACCATAAGCACAGGGGAAGTGTGAAGATTCTCATTTTAACTGTGTAAATGCAGCTCTGCAGCCTCCCCACTCGCAGTGACTACTGGCAGTCACTTGTAGTTTTCCAGGAGGTCCCCGAGCGATTAGGAAGAACTTTAATTGTGCCTCCCTGGAAGCAGCTGTGGTTTCCCACTGCCAGGGAGCTTTCTGCCTCCTTGGTTTCCTGTCTTCTCAAACTCTTTTGATAGATGCCTTGCACGGATTTGTTTACCAGGTTCTTAATCTCTACTTAGCAGATATGTTTGGAGAGGATTTCTTGTTACCCTTGTAATGGCTTTTAACTCTGCTGAAGTTTATTTAACTAAACAGAAAGAAAGAAACTTATCTTCTACCTAATCCTTCTGGATTGTTTACAATATAATGCCAAACTTAAATGCTGTTTAAAGTGGTAATTGTCTGTCTTTCTGCTCTGTTCCAATACACACTTTGCAAGATGTTTGGAGCGTATTAATTTAAACGATAATACTGTCATATAACATGAAAAGTTAAGTTGCTTATCAGTATATTTTGATAAGCTACTTACATTTTACAGTAGCATTTGCAGGCTTCAAACAAAGGCTAATGATGGAGTGCCAGTCACTGTGTCTGTCTCATACAGAGCTTCTCACCTCATTTATCACCCAGAGCTGCCCAGGCAGAGCACGGGGCACTCCATTCCTTACAGCTGTCAGGATGGAGTCATATTTTATAAAAACTTCAAATCCTGTCTCACTATATCACAATAGACCCCATTTGCTTCAGAGAGCAGCTGTGGCTAAAGCAGCGTCAGGCAGTGCCTCACTCTGGCTCTGCATTCGCTGCAGCCGAGGGAGATCCCTCACCAGCCTGGGAAAAGGGGTTGGTTGGAATGAAGAGCTGTGCCATGAAAACAGGGCACAGAACCCTTCCAAAGCTGGAGTGAAAAGGAACATCTTGCCTGTCTCACTGTGTGCAGTGGAGGTGTGATGCAAATGAAAAGGCTGTGATTTTTCTGCATCTTTCTCTTTGAATCTTGTTTCTTCTTTTCTTTTGGAAGTTGAGTGCAAATGTGAAGGTGAAGTTTCCATTTGACCAAAGCAAGGGCCAGGCTGAGCACAGTGATGGAATGAGAGCTGGCAACAATTAAAACTGAGGTTCTAATTATTACACAGTGTAAAAAATCCACTTATGTGAGGACTCAAACCCAAAATAACTGCCTGTCTTGGCTTTGCAAGCAGCTGTGCAGGAGACCAGTTATTTACCATTAAATGTGTTCCAGCCACATCATTTAAATTTAACATTAAATGTGTTCCAGCCACACGAGCACAGAGATATTTGGGGTTAAAACTGGAGCTGCACTGTGTGTGCAGGGTGAGGCTGGGGAGCCCCTGGTGCATGGCTGGTTGGTGCCCAGGGGTGGGCAAGGGTGAACTCCAAAGCTCAGTCCCCCAAGGAGAGGGACCCCTCAGCCTCCTGGCAGAGTTCTCCTCCCAGTGGAAGTCTGCTGTGGCTTTCCTAACAGATAATTATGCAGCATCATGTTAGGATGCTCTGTAGCTTGAGGGCTGGTGATCCTGGATTTATTAACTGAGATGGAGCAAGTTAAATGTATGCTTTTCCTTTTTCTCTTTTTTTTCCAGTTACCTCCCGTGGTTTGAAGTCTTTTATAAGCTGCTCAATGTCTTGGCAGATTATTCAGCAAAAGGACAGGTATTATTCTGAAATACTGACCCTCCTTTTCCCTGCCCAATATCAGATGGGGGCGAGAGGATGAAACAAGCTGTTTGAAGAGGTGCTTCTGTCAGAGATGACCATGTGAATTATTAATCCCTGTGATGTAGAAGGTCATATTCAGCTTGGGAAGTGCCTCTGAAAAATAAATATGCATTTAAATTATATTTTTGGGAAAAGATGAAGTCCAGGGGCGTGGCTGTGGATCCAGCACAAGTCCCTGGGTTCCTGCTGCCCCCGTGCTGGGCAGGCCCATTGACCACCTGCCCTGTGCTCAGCACACCCTGCCATTCCCAAATTCTGGCAGGGGGCTGATCCACGTTTACTGTGGTGTGCAGTAGGTGTAGAACTAACCCCACTCAGGCCACATTTACTCACCTGGCATCATCTGACCCTTCTGCCTCGGAGTTAATCTGGTCACACCAATGCCTACTGAGTATTCCTTTTTATTTTTCTCCTTGTTTCAGGATAGTCAAAGGAGTGAGCTCCTAGAAACATTTCATAAACTCACCATCCCTGAGCCAGGAACCTCTGTTCATCTTGGAGTGGTAAGTGAAGGGGGGAGATGGAAACTGAGGTGCTTGATATTCATTCCATGTCATAACAGGGGAATGTCAACAGCAGTTCTCCGTCCTGGAGCTTGTACACAGATGTTGTTTCCCTGGGAGGACACAGAGCTGTGAAATTCCCCTTTTCACATTTGGGGCCCTCTGTTTCCCTTTCCCTGACATCAAATGTCTTTGAAAGGCTGTTCTTTAATTGGAGGAAGGTTGTGTGTGCTCCCCATGGAGATCTCTCCCCATCTCCTGTGACCTGGGGGAGGTCAGGGAGCAGCACCGGGACATTTATTGCCCACAGTCCTGCACAGCTCCTGGGTCCTGCAAGGGGACAGGGCTGGGGAGGGAACAGTCCCATACCTGTCACAGCAGCCTTGGCACTGTTCATTGTTTATCACACTGACTGCTTCCTTCTCCTCTTCCCCCCTCCCTGAGAAAAACTCATATGAAAAAGAATTTATTTCACTTTTATGTCTTGTGAGAAAATCAAGCAAAGCACACCAGCAGAACAGATTGGGGATTTTGTTGATGGGATTGCACTTTGCATTTATTCTTTTGGGGTTTTTCTCTGCAGACTCCGTTGTGCAGCACACCTTGTGTGTGAGGCACAGTGAAGTTCTGCAGCAGCCGCTGCCTGGGGGGGTTCCCACGGACACTGCCCCCTCCATTTCCTCTGCTCCTGCTTCCACAGGCCTGTCTGGCAGCAGGAGCTCCCCCTGCTCCCCTCACCTGCACAGGGAGCAGTTGTGTGGCCCTGCTGGTCCCCAGCTGGCCCTGGACGTGTCCCTGTCCCCTCAGGGCTCCCTCCCAAGAGCAGCACTTCTGTCCAGAGGAGGAGTGACAATGAGCCATCTCCCAGGGCCAGGAGCAGTTGGGATATTCCAGTTTTTTCATACCAGTGGTTCCAGGGAATGCTGCTGGTCTCCCCCCTTGTCTCAGACATTTCATGGGCGGTGAAGCAAGAAAGGATATAAAAAGGCAGCCCAGGGACTGTGAACTGTGCTGTGTTCCTGCATTTTACTGTGGCTGTTTCTGAGCCTATTTGGGGGTCAGGGGGAGGCTCCTCCATGGGATACAGCGCTGTGTGCTGTTCCTGAATTGCACCTTCGCAACCAGGCCAAACCAGTGACACATCAGAAGCAGCAGTTGTGTTTGTAGTGTCTGTGTTCAGTGTGGCTGCTGGACCCACGTGCTGTTTCAGGTTATACGCTGATCATGAGGCACCCAATTGCAATAATCAATATTTGCTCTTTTTGTAGCACTCTTACTTTACTGTGCCTGACACCAGAGAGCTTCCCAGTATACCTGAAAATGTGAGTATTTGAGAGGATCCTGCACTTCCCTGCTTCTGTCTAATGTCACAGCAACATAGATAACAAATGTTATTGTTTGGTAGTCATGGATTGTATTCTGTGAAACACTGAGCTTGAGGAGCTCTGCATGTGTGATTAAAAGCTGAACTGCATGAAGGACAAAGTACTGATGGCCAGATTGAAATGGGTAGAAACAGCAGATCTGCTAATCCTACACTGAGAGCCCTTGGAAAGGATGACCAGGGAAAACAACCTGTTTGGCTTCTGAAAATGCCACACACCCCTGCTCTCTTCAGAGCCACTGCTTTGGAGGCTTTTCAGCCCCTCGAGGTGTGAGGTGTTCCAGCAGGGCTGGGCTCTCCAGCAGGTGAAGGGGCTGGGGGGAGACAGTGCTGGCATTTGCTTCCTTTCAGCACTCTGTAACGTCTCCCTCTGTGTCTCAGCCAAATTCCTCTGCCTGACATCTCCCTTTTCCTCCTGGAGCATTTTGTGGTCGGTCTGAGCATCATATACCTCAACTGAGGCTTGAAAGGAAGAGAAGGCATCATCAAGACATTTCATCTCATTTGGGGATGATTTGTATAGCAGATAGCATTTGGGGCTTTTTGTTTCTGTTTCAAAACACTGCTGATGGCTTTTCTGCGTTGCAGACTCTTCATACTGACACGTATCCTGTCAGTGAATTTAATAGATGAGCTCTTTCTTCTGAAGCGCTTTATTTTTGTACAAATATGATACACTGGGTGTAAGTCAAGAATCAGTTCCTGAATCTAAACCGGCTATCAAATCCTGTCCTAATTCACAGAATCACTGATGGGCCTTGGAGGTGCCTGGTGCTGCCAGGTGTCCTGCTGTCCCTGCCAGGAGTGGGCTGGGTGGGCTCTGGGGACAGTCAGGGCCCCTCTGGGAGCAGGGAGGAACATTGCACTGAGGAGACAAACCTGTGAGCACTCCCCAAATCAAAGGGCTGGGGCCATTGTAAGAAAGCAAAATCCTGCAAATCAAGTGCACTGGTCTAACTGGAGCTGCAGTTGACTCTCTGCTATTTCTCAGGCATTTTGCTTGTTTATATTTTTCTAATGAATATTGTATCATTTCTTAGGAGGTTTTTATCTGGGTGTTAATGCCACTTTCATGTGGAATTAAAACATGATAATACAAGGACATTAAAGGAGCATAAGTCTTCATGTATTTTAATCAATGGACCTGATTTATTCAAAATTCTACATATCTTATCAGTAATTGCATTTTGAACCCCATATTTAGCAGAAGTTTTAGTAGTGCCAAACTTTGAAGTTGGATGTGATGATGAATGGGGAGCTGCACAGAGCTCTGTTTGGAATGTTAACAAGCCTCTTGAATTATCTGACTTTGTGTCAGATCCCTGTGTTTAATGAGTTTAATGTGAGGGACATGTGAATGCATTGTGGCTGCAGAAACAGATCGGGGTCACTGCAGGAAATGCAGGTCAGGACTCAGTTTCCTGAGAGTAGCTGTTGTGTTCCAGAAGCATCAGGTACATCAACAGGCTGGAATGGTGACATTTTCTTGGTGATCACACTCTGGGGTATTTTTGTGTCACTGAGTCCCTTTTCCTCATTAGGTGATGGTGGAAGAGAAGTCTGTGATTTTTAATCTCAAAACTCAGTGTGCATTTATTGATATTAGAGAGCAAATGGTCAAATGGATGATTGATCTGGGAATGGACTTCCAAAGGAGCACGAGGGAGTTCTGTAGCACTCCTGGTGAATTTTGAGGAGTGGGGATACCTGTTCCTGTATCTGTTCTTAAAACCCCACTTTTTACTGCCCCAAGAAAGGTTTGAGTCCTTGGAAACAAACTACCCAACCATTATCCTGCAAATTGGAACGCTTTCATTTGTATTTATTTAACTCATTCATGGTTTTGTCACTTAGGAGACATGTCTTTCAAAATACAAGTGTAAGGCCCAATTTCAGCTTCAGAGCTGACAGCTTTCTCATAAATACGGCTCCGAGGGAACACGTGAGCCTCCTCAGTACCAATACATTTCCATGCAGCCCACATGCTTCCCAGGTGTCCCTGGCAAATCTCTGAGAGCAGACAAGACTAAAACCTCCCAGCTCTTTCCATCTGAAGGTACATTTGTGTGTCGTTTCGCCACAATGCACTCGATGGGAGAACAAGCGCAAGTCGAGTCCCGCGTCTATTTTGCTCTCACAGTGGGTGCTGTTGCCTCGCAGACACATCCATGTGGAGCAGAGATCCTCCCCAGGCAGGATGCAGGGACTGTGTGCTCCCTCTGCCATGCCCCTGATTTGGGTGGCAGCAAAAGTTCAGGGCTCCTTAAAAATTGTTTGAATTCCCACAACGTGCAGGAACTGTGTCGTCACGCGCTGTGTTTTGGCGTCGGGGAAGGCTGGGTGAGAGGGGGAAGAGGAGCCGTAGAGAAGACAGCTTATGTTTAGACAAAAATATCATGTTAATCAGCACAGATGGGATGAGAAATACAGAAAAAGTACATGATAGTTTAATAGGTTTTTGGCAAAATGTGTTGGCTTTTTTTTCTCTCCTTTGACTGTACCTGTCTGTGGCTCCAGCTTTGCTGTAACAAAGACCTGAGTGATTGTTTTATTTTACATGTTTGAAGCCAACCATAATGAACCCAGTTTTTATCTCCCTACATCCTGGTCCCAAAGTCTCCCAAATACAATGCTTAATTTTCCTTCAGTTCTTTGTGTTTGGATGGCAAGCTGGGGAACATATTTTTGCACAGTATGAAGCATCTTGGCAGACTTCTCAAGCCAAGTATCTTGGATCTGTCAAAAGTGCTAATAGGCTTTGTTGAGCTTCTTTAAGTTTCTAAATCATATTTGCTTTTTGCTTTTCTGCACTTTTTTATTTAAGGATGATTAAGATTGCACTTGAATTCATGACTAATCTAATTTTGCTCTCACATGTGCTTTTTGTATAAGGCTGTCTTTATCATATAGCAACCCTTTCATGTCTGTAAGAAGCCATTTGGAAACAAATTCCCTAATTCAGCATTTCTGGGTGTATTACCTTTTCCTCCACAATGCCCCTTTTCTTTAATTTCCATGTTTTAAGAAGCGAAAACACCCTCTCCACACTCAAATCCTGTTTTCCTTCCCTTGCCCTGAGAAGCCCCTTTTTCCAGGAGAGCAGAACACGCTGGGATCCAGTTGCTCTGTGGTGGCTCTCTGGGTTTGATAGTGAAGCTCTCAGGGTCACATTCTGTTTGCTAGAGGACAGCTGAGGGGTTTAGTCCCTGCCCACGAGTCGTGCCCTGCAGCACAGCGAGAGTGAGGGGACGGGGTGGGCATGAAGTGACAGTGGAAGGTGAAACTGCAGCACGACAGAAGAATGAACTCTGTTTGCCTTTTGGGTTTCTGGGTTATTTCTGTTAAGGACACTTGGTTTTGTACTGTGGTGAATCACAAATTCTTCTTCTCTCTTCCCAGAGGAACCTGACGGAGTACTTTGTGGCAGTGGATGTGAACAACATGCTGCACCTCTACGCCAGCATGCTGTACGAGCGCCGCATCCTCATCTGCTGCAGCAAGCTGAGCACTGTGAGTAAAATGCACAAGACTTTCTGCTAGACACAGGATTTTTTTTTTTTTTTTTTTACAGTCGTGTACTGGATCTGGTTATCTCCAGGTCCCCTTTTCAGTCTCCCTCATGCAACCTCAGCTCGGTTCTGTGCCTGTGTGTGAGGATTTTACAGAACTCCTCTTGGCCTCTGATGTTCAAATGAGGAGGGATTTTTTGGACACAGGAATTTTTGGGGTTGTTTGGTACATGAATGTACAAAGGCTTATGCCTTAGTGAAGTCCTTTGTTCATAATTTACTTGACAGGAAAAAAAAATAGATAAATGACACTGTCAGATGGATGTTGCAGTGACCTTCTCTGGAGGGACCAGAGGAGTGGGCTGAAGTACACTGACAATCCACAGTTTTGCAGTTGTGTTTGATAAGGTTTAGTCTTAATGCTACTTAGGCTCCATCAAGTGTCTGAGAGATGAAAGCTGCTGAATATTCTGGAGTACTCTCTTCTAAAAATGGCTGGAGATCAAAACGAGCACAGGCCTGCTCAGTTCAAAGTTTTGAGCTCTGCATTTCAAGGTTTAGCAGTCAATAAGTTTGTGATTTTCCTTATAAAAGCAAATGCTCCGTGGTCGTTGTGTTTGCTCTGTAAATGGCTATTGACTGCTTTCCTTTGTGAGTGACGAAGATGGTTTAACTCATTTTGCTTTCCAGTGCTGTGATCCTGGCTAAAGCAGAGCTGCCATTTCCATGTCGTGTGGCATTAACCAGGCTCTGACCTTGTGTTTGAGACTAAAACTGCCCCATGGAATTGCAAATGCTCGAGAAGGCTGAAATAGGGTCCACAAACCCATGTAGGGTGGTCTGTCAGCACAGGGCAGAGAAGTGAGAGAGAGTAAGGCCTCATACCTAAGCCCAGGATAACTGCAGGATCATTTTGAAGGGTGAGCCAAAGGGGGAGAGTTAGAATAACCTCTGGGACCTAATTATAGTTATTAATAATGTTTACAATCAACTCCCCATTTAACTGAAAGCACTTAGGTATTATGAAGTTTAATACTATGGAAAACTTGCAAAACCTTAACTTCTATATCTACCAAGTGTTCTGTGTCCTTGCTACTGAAATAAGGAAAATCCATCCAGGTAATGGAATAAAACGAAGGAGAGGTGTTTATTTCAGCAACCTGCAGAATGAAGAGAACAGTACATGATCAGAGGGGAGGGAAGAAGAGAAGGGCTGCCCAAAGCATTTCAGAGATTGTGTGGTTGGTTGGTTTAATCTCTCCCTTTGTGACAGAGCCTGGGAAGAGGAATTACTTACCTGTCACTTTGCCTTCCTTAATGAGCCAGTTCACAAGGGGGGCTGGGTTTTTTTCCCCTATTTTCCTGCTATTTCTCTTCCTTTTGCCTCTGTCCAAGATAAAAGCCTGTCTGGTTCTGGGGAGGGAGGGGTATTCATACTGTGTGTTCTTAGCTTACAACTTCGTATGTGAGCTGCTCCCAGGCTGGAGTGACAGTGTAAGACAGGTTTGAAGGCTGGGCCGCAGCCAGCGATTCCTGCTCGGCGGCTTCCAGCAGTAGGAACAAGCTGCATTCTTTTATTTCAAACTGTGCTCAGCGGAAGCCAAGACCTTGGAACTGGAAAGGAACCAAACCCAGAATCCTCCAGTGCTGCAGGGTGGGTGGGGCTGGGGGGCCTCCTTTGTTTGGAGTTCTCAGTTCTCCAGCAAGGAAAGTGGAAGGGACCTGTTTGCAGTTCATTTGTTTGGACTTTGGGAGACACACTTTGTGCTTAGGGCTTGAATTGAGTGGCAGGTAAGAGAGGGAGAATCAAACCATCCTGGGTGGAAAGGCTTTTATGGTGGGGTGAATTCTGTGCTACAGTACATCATCTCAAATTCAGATTTTGATTTCCAATACCCTTACATGCTTAAGTTCAATGAGATTTAGAATGAGGCTGTGTTAATCAGCTATTTCATAAATCATGTACTGAACCTATAGAAGAATTATTGGTGTTTTCTTGGATTTTATTCTGTTTTCCTACAAAAGGAAATGCAAATAATTTCTCCAAGTGTTAAAACAATTATTGCTGTTAAATTTCCTTACGTATTCTGTGATCTAACTCCTCAAGAGTAGCCAGACATGAACCAAAATGCATCAACCCCCAGTGCTTGGCAGCAGCCCACCTGCTGGTGGGAGCACGCTGCTGCAAAATGAGGCTGGAGCTCTCCTTGCATCCCCAATTCCCTTTTCCATCAGAACCTGCAGCCCTGCCACCCCAGGGGGTGTTCACTGTCTGGGAGCAGGGCAGCACCAGTTGTGTCCCATTATGGCCTTAGACTTGGCCATTTCAGTGCTGCTCCTGTCTGGCTCCACACACGGAGGGGGATTTCCTTGCCCCATTTCCCTGTTATTTTGGGAGCGTTGGTGCAAAGCAAAGGCTCCCAGGGATGCTCTGTTGTTCCTGGGAGCTGCAAGAAGTGCCCAGTGAGTGGCGTCTCCCTCGCCCAGGGACCCCCTTCCCCCTCCAGCAGCTGCACCGAGCGAGGCAGTGGAACTAATCTGATTCCAGAGGCTGCATTCCCATGTTTGTGGCACTTGGGCATTTCTCAGGCTGCCCCACTGGGAAGTCCCTGGCACAGCAAGGACTAGAACTCGTGAATGCATAAACAGAGGCTACTGGGGGAAGAGTAAATATGATCTTTGCAGAAGAAATCCCTGCTCAAATCTTAAAACTCTTCCAAAATGTAGATGACATTGAAGTATGTCGAATTCTTCCAAGTACTGAAGAAATTTTTGCGTCATAGGAGAGTTTGATCCTCTTGAAGGTAAAAAACTGGCTGTGTTGTTCAGAGGCATAAAGGTAACACATAAACCAGAGGCCTGTGTCCCACCTTGCTGCCCAGTGCCCTGCACTTTGGTGACAGCCGGGTTCTGTTGCTGACAGAGGCTGCACTGAAGGCTCTGGCACAGAACAGAACCCAAACTGCCCCTGACACGGGGTCTGAAAGTCCTGGATTGGCTCATCCACCATTTCCCTCACCAGCCATGGGCTCCTTTTGAGAGCTCTGTAACTCACTGCTCTGTCTTAATGGAAATTCATAGTAATGAGGGTCATCTTTTCTTTCTGAAAGGTTGCTCCACATCTGACTGGATTAGGATTAATGCCATGATGTGTCTTTGCTTGGTTTCATCTCGGACACCTTCAGGCCACCACGGGGACCTCAGTCCCTTGGACTTTGTGTCCTTTGTGCCCTCAGTGCCTGTGAGCAGGCTCTCCCTCCCTCCCTGCCCACACAGGCTTTCCATGCTGGATCTCCTGCTGCTCAGATCCTCTCCTTGCAGTATTTTGTCCACAGCTTTTGCTGAATTTCCTTGCTGAGCATTACCACCTTCTCATTTTAATATCCTTAGTGAGTGTGACAAATACCCTGCTTATCTTCTCTTCCAAATTAATAATCATCGTTTGAAATAGGGTTGAGAGTAATTTCCTCTGTGAGGATTCTCCCCATGGCTTCACTGGCACTTGCCTTTGCTCCTTCAGTACTTGCCCACATCAAAACCCTTCTGCATGTGTTTTTAACAATATAACTGAGAAATTCAGTGGATCGAATGATTAGGTGAAGAGCCATTGGGGAAAAACTCCTTTTAGATAATCTAGATTTAATCACTGAGTTCAGTGTGAATTTTTTCCAGTTTGTGTTATAATTTCTGTGCATTTTTATGGTATCTAATGGATGGTAATTTCCAGGATTGGGGATTTGCCCCTGCTATTCCTTTGGTTCCCTTTGTGTTTTCGTTTCCATGTTTCTGTTGCTTTCCAGAATGCTGGGTGTTCTTTGCAGGTTTTGTTTGTTGAGTGAATCATGTTCTCAGCTGCTCACAGAGTCAGTTGGGTGAGGAGCACCATAAACCTGTCGTGCTTCACCCCGAGCCCCTTGTTCTTAACAGCAGTGCTGGATTTTCTGATGAAACACGTTGATAGGAAAGCAGAATGGATTCATTACTGTCTTGTTTCTAACTTTGCCATGCGTGGCCTGGGGCCTGGCCCGTTTCTGATGCAGTTTTGATGGTGTTTTTCAGTTAACTGCCTGCATCCATGGCTCTGCAGCCATGCTCTACCCGATGTTCTGGCAGCACGTTTACATCCCTGTTCTGCCCCCACATCTGCTGGACTACTGTTGGTAAGGCCATATTTGTGTCTGTGTGTTGTAGATATGTGAATATATCCCTGAGATTCACAGCAGTGTTCACGTTTCTGTGTGCTGGTCCTAAGTGCTCTTATGATGCAACTGTCACTCTGAAAATACAGTGTGTTAAGGAGGCACCAACCCAGTAAGTACAAATATTTCTGTGTTGAAATAGTCTAATAGGAGGAGTGGTTACTGTGGAATGCTGCCACTTAGATATTGTGTCATTAAATTCTGTTTTCAGCATGTCTGTGTCAAATATTCCAATTTGCGTTAAGACTCCAACAGGATACATTTTTCTCATTTTCTTGCTTTTCTGATCTTCTGTTGAGGGTGGGGAAAAAACTGCTAAAAAACCCCTGTCTTTCATTATGAGTGTGTGTTTAGAACATGATATTTACCTTACTGAGGGGAGTGAGTGACCTCAAGGCTTCCTCGAGGAGCTCAGCTCCTGGCAGAGGCTTTGGCTTGGCAGGCTGGTTGTCCATCCCCCGGGGGACACAGACCTGTGCAAAGGGGCAGAGAGCAAACCTGGGGCACTGGACCCCAGCAGGGAGAACCACAACTCACTGGGCCCTGTGAATGGGTTGTTTTATGGCCAGGATGGAGGGAGCTGGAAGAGTGGGATTCCAGCATGAGTGACTGGGGCAGGGTGTGACTGCACACTCACAGATACAGCTCCTGACCCAGCCAGGAACTTCAGCAGGACAGGGAGCTACACACCCTGTCATTGTCTGAATAATTTAGCAACAATTTATGTGCCATAAATATATTTCTCGAAATAGAGTCCTTCTATTTTGTAACCATGTGAACTTCCAGATGTCATTTTTGCCTGGGAGGACTGAGCAATCAGCTCCCTGCTCTCTGCTTTAAGGCAGTATTGCTGCTCTCTGGTGTCTGCCTCTTAAGGGAAATGACCTGAGATTCTTCAAAAAGGAAGAGTTTAATTTAATTTTAATTATTGCCTGGTTATTTCTTTTGCAAATATGACATAAGAATTTTAGAGAGCCGAGGTGGGAACAAAATTTAAAGCAATGAGAATTCTTCAGTTCTTATGAACACAGAATATCATGTTGATTCAGTTGGCTGTGCCCTTTTACTGACTGTGCTGCGACGCTTTTGAATCTTCCCCTGCTCTTTTGAGACTCACAGAAGGGTGGACAGACCGTGTCACTCGTGATCTTTGAAAGTCTTTGAGAAAAAGTATATTCCACCTGTGATTATTTGCCTTCTGCTTCCCATTTCCCCCTTGGAAGGATTTTCTTAAGCTTGAAATTTCTGTTCCCCTGTGTTGCTGCCTGACGTCCCCACCCTCAGAACGGGAAGTGCCAGAAGGTTCTGTCTCCAAAATGCTCCAAAATACCCTGGCTGTGCGCTGGGGCCGCTGACTCAGTGGTGGTGCTGCAGCATCCACGGGTCTGCAAGGACTTCACTCCTCTGAGCCCTGTCACGCAGATGAGCTGAGGACAGGGGGTGGGAGGGGAAGCAAGAGGAAGAGGGCTGTCCTTCATTTTATTTTTTGGTCAGGCACCACTCTTTGATATGTTTTCAGCCCAGGGAAAGGTTCTGGGGGGGAGGAGACTGGAAATTGGTGGTGATGCTGTCATTAGATTTCACACCTTCATGCACAATTGCTCGTTCCTTCAACTAGAGAGCAGAGGGAGCATCTGAAGCACAGCTGCAGTGCTGGTGCTTGCTCTGGGGTGCTTGGTTTGTGTGTTTGTGTTTAGAGCAGGTGCCACGAGTCCTGCTCAGTGAGGTGCTGCCACCAAGCATCAGGAGCCAGGCACATACAGCTACTGAAATGTGGTGGATCTTGTCCATCTCTTTCACTGGGAATTTAAACACTTCTTGATGTGGCAGACACAGTCTATCGATTGTCCTCACCACTTTTTCCAGTTTGTTTTCCATGTGCCATAAACCCACTCCCACTGTGTCTGTTTTCTCCCTTCCTGCTCTGGGTGTCTGTGTTTGAGATGAGCCTGTGAGAAAAGCCCATCTTTGCTGTGACACAGCTGAGTGTGTTCCCTGAGTCCCAGAGCTCTGTCACCAGAAGCAACAGTACATTTTGTAGGGGGATTACACAGCTTTTTCTGTCCCAGGCTGCTTAGCAGGCAGCGTTACTGTGTTCTGAGAGCACCCTGGCCCAGCTGCTGAACAAACCCTTCTGCTGAATTCTGAATGTCAGTGAGGGATCCAAGGAGAAATCAGGAGACTGCCCTGGAGAGGGAGGTACCACTGGTGGGAGAGAGCCACCCCTTAGGTCAGTGTCTGTACATCAAGACATGAACTTAGTAAATGGGGTCTCACCCATTTTCCTGGAACAAAGAAGCAAAATGGTGCAACCCCTGTGTAGCTGTAAATAGGAACCTTTTGGACATCCCTGGGCTTTTACTTACTTTTCCTGGAAAACTGCAGAATTTTTTAAGGCTGGGCTTTTTCACCTAAGAAGAGATGTCCCTCTATTTCACCTGCTTCTCTTCCAATTAGCAGTTGCCCACCTCTTGGGAGCATAATTTGCCTAAGGAAACGAATTAAAGAAATTGTAAAAATGCAGCTGTAATAAATGGGCACTCCACAGCCATTATGTCCCCAAAATCCATATTCATGCCTAGGCAGTGCCACTGCAATGATTGGATATTTACCTCCATAACTCATGTGACTGTAAATAAGGCTGATTGCCCGGGGAAGCAGCAGCTCGGAGCAGCAACGACCCCTCTCTTTGTTCCGGAGGGCTCTGCAGGCACTTTGTTTGAGCAGCAGGGACGGGGCAGAAATTGATACTTCTTCATTTGGCACTTAATGGCTGTTGGCTGCCAGCAAACAACTTGAGTCATTAGGAGCTGTGGCTGTGAGAAGGCCCAGGACTGATGAAGTGTCGGGCAGCGGGGCAGGCCTGGCCCGAAGGGCAGCCTTTAATCTGCCAGGGCTCCCCGGAGGATTAAAGGTTGTGCCGGGTGCTTCTCCCCTAGACGAGGGATGTGTCTCGCTGAACTCGCCTTGAAAGTCTTGGAAGCACCATCGAACCTGATAAAATATTCAAAGCTGTGTGAGTGTTTCCTGTCTCAGGACAGGAATCTCAGGGAGGAGGAACTGTTGCAGTGTGCCCTGAGTGGGGAAGGGGGACACACACCACGTTCCCCTGCACAGGATGGTAACAGAGTATTTTAATAATGGCACATGATTAACTCACAGTAAAGAGAAATGGTGATAAAAGCAATTTATGAAGCCTGACATGAACCTTCAACATTTACATCCAGGTGTGTTTCCTTTTTCAGTCAGATTGATGAGGGATGACAGAAGAATAGGATCTCTCTGGCAGATTTTATTGGACATACCTATGCTCTTTACCAGATTATATTTTATTGGGGTTATTTTTGCAGTCCCTGTAGTTGTTTTGTGTGCTATGTTGCTTTTACAGGTAATGTCTGTCACTCCAAAATTTGCATCCAAAGCCGATCCACGTATCTTAAGCCAGATCTTGTCTGTAACTCATTAAAATCCTACTGGAGGAGTGGAGTTTTAAGGTTTAAACATTCTTATTGTTCTTTTGTTGATAAACTGGAGGGTTGACCCACGGGTGTGCTGCAGCTGAGGGCCTTGCCCAGGCTCAGCCTTCGCTGTGCTGGTGACAGGCTGTGCAGCCGTCCCCGAGCGGCCGGCGTGCTGGAATGCTGCTCTGCTCCTGCTTCCTCTCATTACAGCTGCCAAGCCCCCACTACACGAGACATTTGCAGGCTTTAGACTTCCTGCCGAGGTTCCGACTCTGCGTTTTGGGGATTGGAGCTGCCGAGTTCCCGCGGGTCCCTAATTGGAACCACATTGGGCTGGGTGCGCGGCAGGAGCGGCGGCGGCGGCAGAGCCCCCGGCACGTGGGGCAGCCGGACCAGGCGTTCCTCCCCGGCTGGAAAATCCTGGGGAATTATCTCACTCCGGGGCTGTGGCCACTGGGAACGAGGAGATGATGGTGTTTGCCACGAGCCAACCCCGCAGAGTGCCCGGCAGGAGCTGTGCCCAGCTGAGCGCTCCGTGTGTCCCGGGGCAGTGTCACTGTGGGGTGGCAGTGCTGTCCCAGCGCCTGGCTGCGTGCTGTGTCCTCACCCATGGCATTCCTGAGCAAGCAGAAGGTGCAGGGCTGGTTTGTGCCCCTCTGGGCTCTGTCACATCTCTGTAGGGATGTGTTTCAGTGTTCCCCAGTGAACTGGGAAGGGGGTCTGGAAGTTACGTGGGTTTAATGTCTTCAGAAAGAACAAGGAATATGGAATGTCTCCTGTAGAATGTCTAGTGTAGAGGCTGTTTCCACCCCGGTAGAGCATCCAACAGAGTGGCAGTTTGAGGGGGTGTGTTAATAAACAACATAAATATTAATATGCTTACCAGTAAATATATATTTTTAAGGTATTTTTCAGGAAAAGGAGGAGCAGGGATTTTGCTGCTCTGGTGTCTCAGGGGTTTTTTCAGCACTGTACTGCTCTTACTGAGCAGTAGGCACCAGCTTAGAGCAGCAATATGGGAGATATTTTAATCCAAGGCAGCACAGTGACATTTCTCTCATTTTTTCATCTGAAATTGAAAATGAGCTCTTTGAGCTTCTGTATCCAAAGCGAAGGGAGGCTCTATTTTAGAAGTTGTGTCTGTCTGTGTTGCTGTTTCGCAGGCAGGATGTGCCATATTTGCAATTAGCAGCTCTGGCACCTCCCTGATGGCTCCCCTGCATGGCCCTGCTCTGGGTGGGGCTGCCCTGGGTTAACATTAGAAACGTGTGTACAGAGACACAGCTGCAGGGCTGGCACCAGCCAGGGCACACTGGGCAGATCCACCTCCCTTGAACTGTCCGTTCTGCTCACCACGAGAGCCTCACCTGTGCTGGGGGGACATTGGGCTGAGGCCTCCTGGGGTGTTTCAGTGGGGTGTCCTGAGGGGGGTGTTGGCATCAGGGTCTGTCCTGGCAACTCTGCAGCTTAGCAGAATCTTCTAAAGTGATTTTTGTGGTTTCTTTTATAAATGTAAACATGTCAAGATTTATACTTAAAAATGAATTGCTTAAAAATGTGTCTGGACTCATTCAAAGAATTCAGAACTTGTAGTACCAGGTGATACACATACACTAAATTAGCCACCTGACACTACAACAGGATGCTTTCTTTGAAAGAATGCTCTTGGAAAACTCTGGGTATGTTTTTAAAATTGCAGTAACATGTTTTGTTTGTTTTATTTAACAGAAGACTCCACTATCAGAGATATGCTTAGTAGCTGTCCTTAGGTACCTGCCTGAACTCAGGCACTTGGAAATTCTGCTGCCAAGAAAAATTCAAGTCTTACAGGGCTGAGAGGATATTGCACAGTAAAAACAGTCTTTCAGATCGGGAAGAACATTTTGTTCACATGGGGTTTGTTTATACATATATGTATATATTAATTTTTAAGCAAAATCCAGTCCAGTATCACAGTGTTTTCCTGTAGCCAATTTTGTAAGTCGTTGTGTGATTTCAGTGTTGTGGGAATGTAAAGCCAGTTTTTTTTCCTCTCTGCAGTGCCCCCATGCCCTACCTCATCGGGATACACTTAAGTCTGATGGAGGTAAGTCTCTCTCACTGTTTCTGAAACTATATATAGTGGAATGATTCAGAGCCAAACTCCCCAGGCAATTACACATTCATTCATATGCTTAAAAACGCACTAATGCTGTTAATTTGGGCGTGCTGGGGAGCTGAGCTGAGCTGAGCACACATGGCCATGGCAGCCCTTCAGGAGCCCTGTGAGCTGCCCCTGCTCCGGGGCAGAGCTCACCTGGGGTCTCCTCCCCACCCTGGGGCTCCCTTTGGTCCCTGCAGCGCCTTGGTTGGACTGACTCACGAAGGCAGAGTCGATATTAAACCACACTGTTGACAGTTACAGTTCTCTTTTAGGCTTTTGCAGACAGATTGTAATTTTTTTAATGTTCGAAAGATCTGAAAAGAAGGAACTTGCTGTTAATGTTAACACAAAGCTGGCAGAGAACCAGCCCTCACAGAAAGCTTCTCCTATAAACAATTCCCAGTAATTCATGTGACTTTTAAAAAACTCTAAAAGTGGAAATAACGCATTTGCTTTTGACTGGTGAAACAGTGGATGACTTCCTTCAAAAGTATCTGGGGGACAACATAAACTACTCACTCAAGTCCTGCTGAAAATGCTCCTCCTGTTGATTGAACCCCTTGCACAGGAGCTCTGAACAAGGAGTGTGTGCTCTTGCCTCCTGGGGGCTCTTCAATTAGCAGGGGTGGGCTGGTGGGAGCTGCACGTGCCCTCGTGTCCCCGTGTGAGATCCCTGGGTGTGGAAATTCAGCCCTTGTGTTCAGGGGGCAGAGCAGTTCAGAAAGCTGGGTTCACACCACGTAAAGGAGCGTGAATTACTGGAATAATTGTTCTTGCATTGTGTCATCTCTCTGCCAATACTGATCAAATATCCTTGCCCAAGGGCAGATGTATGTAATGATGATGCCCTGTGTCTGTGTGCGCTGTGGAACTTCCCCTTTTCCCAGCATTAACGGGAAGTAATGTTAGAAGTCAGTTTTTTCATGAGAAGATTGAATGTGCATAATGTCTTTATTCCTTTCCATACCATCCTGGGTACAGGTGATTTTTTATGCCCTTTATATTGCTAAATGAAGTACAGAACTGCAGCAGGATGTGGTAGTGGGTTACCGGTTATTTTAAAGTCAACGTGTACATTTGTTTGTCCATCATGTACTCGTGTTCAAGGGGCTCCTGAGAATGCCCCTCACCTGCTGCACACACAGGAGTGAGGGAATACCTGGGAAGAAATGTATTTTCCATACTGATCAGGAACCTGCCTGCTCCCTGCGTGTCCCAGGCCATGGCTGGGGTGGTTGTGGTGTTCCTGTGAAGGCAGAGCAGCCCTGGTGGAGGGTGGGGTGACATCACAGAGCCCTGGCAGTCTCACAGGTACCTGTGCTCACCACGAGCTGTGTGCTCGGCCTGGGACTGGATGTAGCAAAACAATCAGGAATTGCACCCTGGAGCTCTCTGGGTGATGTGTCACTCCTGCCTTGCTCCACAAACCCAGTGCCTCCTCTCTGTGTCTCAGACTGCAGGGCTCTGTGGGCCTTCCAAACTCCATCTGTACAAACTCAGAAAAAGGAGTTGTTCTTGGAGAAGCCAATTTTCATCCGTTTTAGTAACTTGTGAAGAAATCTGTTTAGTACTAAATCCAGTCTGGCTGCTGAATAGCCAGAGATTCTGGAACACAGACACACTTTGGCAAAGTACAGTTATTCCAAGTGCCTTATCAAATAAATGAAATAAATAAACCAGACTGTTTTCTCTGCCGTAACTCTGCTTGTTCCATCAGAAAATAACACCAAACCCCACAGTGGCTATTGAATCTGTCTGTTGGCAAGTGCTGCTGAATTTCTGTGCCCTGGGCAAGGGAAAGGTGATGTTTGGCACACGAGCTGGACAGTTCCTGGGTTATCTCCCTGCCTCTTTCTGATACTCACTGCCTTTGTCCCTTCCCTCACACGTAGATATAAAATTCTGTGGTTTATGTGTCAGAATAACATCGTAGTAGCAACAGCAATTTTTTTCTCATGGTATAGCAGTTTTGTATTTTTAAAAATACATTGTCTTTTCCATATCAAAATAATTTTATAAACTAGAACTACAAACCACTGCCATTATTCAGTATTGCTTTTTCTTTAAATGCTGAAATTTCAGCTAATAGGACTTTGAAGTGTTCTGAATAAACCCAGGTGTCAGGATAAGGGGTTAATTCCCCAGCCCTCCGTTCCAGGTGGGCCCTTTACCTGTGCAGAGCCCCCGGGGGTGACTCCAGGATTGTCTGGGCTCAGGCTCTGCCCCAGCAACTGCCACTGTAGGATTATCCTCGTGGGGTAAATGTTAGTGGCAGCCTGAGCTTGCCCAGGGAGAGCTGTGCTGTGAAGGGGAGAGGGGATTTGGGGTAGAGGAAAAAATGACGTTCTCCCTTTCGTGTTGTTTCTGTGGGTTTTGCTGTCCCAGTGTAGGAATGGGGCCCTGGAGGAAGCAGAAATGTTAGTGATTTTGAAGAAAATACCCCCCTCTCAGCTCAGGGGGGTTTTCCAGGCTGGTTTGTACCCTGAAGTTGGTTTGGAGTTTCCCGTGTTCCACGGGGGCTCTGTGGAAGGAGCAGTTGTTTTAATGGAAAATGACAAATTTTTCTTATGATTAAAATATCAAGCATATCCATTGACTGTTAAATCTAATTTGCTGTGACTGAAATGTTCTCCAGTGAGATAAGATAATCTCCTGTTATAGGTCAGAGGGCTCCGACTGATTTATGGGGGAAAACCTTGGTAGAAAATATAGAGCTGTGTTTTGTGCTCTTATTTTTCAGCTTTTCTATCATCACCTAGTTAGTCATTCTTTATAAGATTTCCATTTAGCAATCCATAAAGTGACTTCAAAGAGGGCTAAAAGTTTATAAGCTGTTGGATAAGCAAGGCTGGAGCTATCACATGAATAATGGAACATGCTTACAGAACTAATTGAATTCATATTAGAGGAAGATAAGTACTTAGCAGTGATAAATAATGAGATAGGAAAATGAAACTCTATCAGAAGAACACACCCCTTTCATAATGTTAGTTTCTCTCTCTGTGCTGTAGGTTATTTTAGTCCTCAAATTCTATTAAATTGACCTTTGTGTTGGAAGTGGTGTCAACCTTGGCTGCAGCCTGTTCCCTTTGGTCAGGGTAAACGATGCTTTCAGCAACTGTTTCTGCAGGAAGGTTATTAGTGGGATGGTGCTGATGGAGGAGGAATGCCCTCGACCTGGGGGACTCCCTGTTGGAATTTGGGCACATGTGGTTTGGATTGACTGTTGGGGATGGTTGTGTTGGGCTGGGAGATGTGGAGCTCTGGCAGCAGAACTGTGCCAGGATCCAGTCACCCTCTCCCTGCCCTATCTGGGGCACAAACCCAACATTTACACTTAGGGATTAGAAGAGCATTTCTTACCCTTTTTTGATAATACTCCAGTCATTCAAGGACTTTTCCTGAGTCTTCAGAATTGCAGTTCCTCCAAGGTTGTCCAAGACAAACGTGTGTGTGAAACTGCCCATCGCATCTCAGAATGATTCCTGACCTTGTTCCTAAGCAAAGAGGACAGCTCTGCACGTCACAAAAGCTGTATGAGCAGGGTTTTGTTTGATTTTAACCTGGTAGCAGTAAAGATGCTCCTGTTAGGAAAGGCGGGTTCCCTGGAGTTGCTGCTGTGTCCCACGTGGTGATCTCAGCTGCTGCTCATCCTCTCTGCCTTTCTGTGGGTGGAAAGCAGGACCCTCTGAGCCCCACACACCTCCCCAGGAGGGACTTTCTGGCACGTTTCCCTGCTCTGGCTCAGGGAGGTGTGAGGATGCTCTGTTTGGGATCCAGTCAGAGCCCAGTTAGTGTGTGTCAGTCTGTCAGTCTGGGCTCAGCCCTGGCCCTGCCACGGGCTCCCCCCTCCTCAGAACACACCCTGAGAATTCACTGACCACTGGGCTCTGCCACTGGTGGTGGTAATTGTTAATTATATTGTTTGATTGGGGTGAGAAGTAGTAATTGGTTTTTTCCATCCATTTATACTTAGTAAATCAATGCCTTTCTACCAGTGAGTGAGGAAGTGCAGCTTTTCCACAGGGTTTAAATGAAGGGGTTATGGATACACTTAAATCCAGGCCTTAGAACCCCAAATGCAGTTTGGCCACTCACAAATATCACCAGTATTGCTGTGCATGGTTTCAGGAATATTGATAAAAATGCATTTTAAAATGTGGCAGATGACTTGTGGAGTTATCCTTTATCCAGTTATTGGACAAACGGAAATAAGAGCCGTGTTTCGAGAGGAGCTGCAGGGGGGCACGTTGGAGGGTCGTGTTCAGGAAAGCCAAGCCCTGCAGCTCCAGGCAGAGGGAAGGGTTTGTGTGTGCAGCTCCAGGGTTTGTGTGTGCAGCTCCAGGGTTTGTGTGTGCAGCTCCAGGCAGAGGGAAGGGTCTGGGTGTGCAGCAGAGCTGGGGCAGCCCCGGTGCTGTTTGTCACTCAGCTGGCAGCAGCTGCTGGTGATGAGGATCTGGGAATCACCTGTGCGGGCTCGGGGTGCCCGGGCGGAAGGTGGGAGATGGGCAGGGGGCTGGGAGCCCACCTGCTGTGCCCGGATCAAAGGGCCCCGGGGTCAGGGGGCACATCCCCTCACCCAGAGCTGTCTGCTGAATAGCCATTTCAGGTTGTAAATCTGAGCGGGGTTTCATTAAGTCCTTCTGGCTGCTGTTGGGGCATGAAATAATAAAATTTTATATCCGCTGCATTTCCTGCTTCTGGCAGCCAGGTTGACACTCTGCTGTCTGCAGCGTTGGGGTGTTTTCCGTAGGAAAATACATGGAAACTATTAACTGAGGACAGGCAAGTCATTAAGCAAATGGGCTTTAGACTTCTTCTGAATCGTACAATAACTTCGGATCTAGTGCACAAGCAAGCTAGAATGTTAGTTTTGGTTAACAGTGTTGCCTTTCCAAAAGAATTGTTACCTCTTTACTGTTACAACATTCTTTAATGTGTTGATCACTTTTGTATCTGGTTATGAAGCTTCATGATCAACTTGGTTTATGTTTTGGCTCCAGTTTAGCCATGAAGTGACCCAAACCTGTTTTTTGAGCGGAGGAGGGTAGTGGTGGTGGTGTTTGGGTGTTGTGGGGTTTTTGGGTTTGTGTTGGTTTTTTTTAAATCGAACTATTCAATAAAATTGTTCACCTGAAAGAAGTTTAGCTGGGGATTTTTTATGGTAGAAAATGCAAAACCTGCCAACTGCAGCCAGTGATGATAAAATAACATTTAGTGCAAACTGGTGTTGGTATTACTGATGAATATTGCTTGTAGCATGTGATGGGAGTGAGACAGAGGAGCACCCCTTAATACTTCTATTCAATATAGTTTCTCTGGTTTTGTGAACTTTCACATAAAACATTTAAATGACTTCAAGTGTTTGGCTGCTGGGAGCGGGACAGGCGCCCTGACTGCGCTTATTTACGGACCTGGTGTTTAAGGCCCCCTGGAGTTTGTTTGAAAAGTTAAGAGATTTTCACAGTAAAGGTGCCATTTCTGAAATTTAAAGTGCTCTTTTCACCAGGAGATAAGTTCTCTCTGATTAAGTCAGTAATTCTTACTAAGCCATGTTTATAGAGGCCATAAACAATGGGTTCAGTGTGCTTGTTAAACCAGCTTTCCATACCTCTCCACTCTTTTAAAAAGGGACATTTAAAATAAAAGGCAGGTGTAGATGTTAGTTTGATTTAGATGGATTTTAGATGATTAATTATGGCTACAAGTAATTGGGCAGGGATGGTTAAGAGAGGTTTGCAGGAGTGAGATGTGATGCCCATTTTCACTGAATCTCTCCTTTTGACTCAGCACATCCCTGCTCTGTAGCAAAGTGAGAGTAGGAGACTGGAGTGGTCACGTTTCCTCTTGGTCTTTGCTTTTCCACATTTTTTTTCAGCAGAATATGAACATACTGAGCACAGTGCAGTCTGCTGAACAGGTATCACTTTACTTGTAAAATTGTGTTTAGCTATCCAGGAAGCTGTGGAATACGGATGGGGCCGTGTGTGGCTTGGGGCTGTCCCTTCCAATTTCCAGAGAGTTATGACGACACACAAACTGTACTTGTGAAAAATGATCTACGTGTTGGTGTGATTCGTGGAGTCCAGTGGGATTTCACATGAGAAATGCAGCTGAAGGATGGGAATTTTTACTCAGATTCCAACCTGAGAGCCAGTGCTGTTATTTCCCTGTCAGTTTTGCCCCACTCAGCCAAAGAAACGTGTGATTATTGGACAAAAGCCCTTATAACTGTCTGAGAATACCTTTATCAAAGGGGATAGTAAAAACAGAGATGATAAAACCAGCTAAGGATTAAGATGGACTGGTCAGTCTGCATTTGTCTAGGATGAGCCACGATCAAAAAATCGTATGTTTTCGAATGCGTTGCAAGACAGATGCTATTAATCAAGTTAGTCTCTGGTGTTTTATTAAATCTGAGGGTTTGTCTCAAGGGAAATCCACTGCCTTAGTACAAATATTGAGGAGTTCTGAAGTAAGGCTGAGCTGTTTGTGGTGCAGAGGTGCAGCAGAGCAGAGTTTAACATGTATTCCTTTCAGGTACAGTTATTTCTGGGCCCTGTGGGGATGATGTGGGAGCAGCACGAGCAGCATCCCCCTGAGCTGTGCTCCCTGGCTGATCCCCACACGTCACAGGCCTGTTCTGTGCTCCAGAAAACCCCAAATTCAGCTGAAGGGAAGGTGCAGACTCCTCACCAGAGTTACAACCCCCCCAGCACGTTCCCCACGCGTGTGCTGCTGCTGGGGCAGCAATCAGGAGAAGGTTTGAATTCCTCCTGTCTTGTCCTGCCCAGCACTCGAGTTTGACAAGCTTCTGGCTTTGGTTAAGCACTTTGCAAGGCCTTTTTGTTGGAGGTTTTTAGACTCCTCTGAGTATAAGTGAGATTTTTAATTTTCTGAAGCAGGAAGGAGCAAATCAGTTTGTCTGGTGCTTCCGGACTCCTAGAAGGAGCAAGGCTCCTGGATTGCTTTAGAGTTTATCAGATGCAGCCAACGGAGTGACCTTTGGTTCCTGAAAGGCAGAGTGCCTGGTTTGTCGTGCAGTACTGCTGCCTTTTATATGGAAAACATTAAATGTAATATTCTTCTATTTAAGCTGAAGAAATGTCTCGTGAAGACCTGAACTTAAATGTCTACAAAGTGGGTTTTATGGTGGTGGTTTTTTTTTTTCAGCCCTAAGTACACAGCAGTTTGCTTTATAGACAGAGGACTGAGCCTTGAAAACTGAGGGTAATTATTTAGCTGCCTAAGGCTCAACTTCGCCATTGTTTTAGGACTTTAGTTCCTTTCTTTTAAGGGAAACAATTCCCCCCACCCCACAAAACCTTAATTAAAAATTGAGTATGTTTTTGTTCACTTTCCTCCTCAGTAACTTGCATTTGGTTGTGTGTGTAGGTATGTAGGTACTTAAACATTTATTTACAGTGTCACTGGGAAATTGCCTCAATTACCATGTTCTGTAATTCTACTTTGTCTGATTTTGAATTTTCAAAACTTTATTTGAAGAGACCTTAAACCTGTGGACTCAGTCAGTTAAAAAAACAGACACAATTCTCCTGTTAGTGGAAGTGTTAAGTATTTAAATGCTGCTCTGTTTGGTATCAGTGATTCTTTTACAGTTGTTTAAGCAGGGAAATCAAGTCTGACAGAGTTTAAATTTGCTCAGATCACCGGTATCTTTAGACACTCAGTTATAGGCATTAATGAGCCTTCTTTTGAGAAGTGGGCTCCGCTTTTCTCTTCTGTGTCCACGGACTGTTACAGATGATGTTAGCCCTCAAACTAGATTAGAAACTTTTCTTTCCCTCAGTTCATGGGAACGGGAGAAAAAGTTCAGACTCTCTGAGCAGGATATGGTGGAATTAATTAACCTCTGATGGTGTCCAGTTTACTCAAATGCAGTTGTAAACTTGTCTCTACTGGAGTTCTAAAATTCAACCTGGAATTTGGAAACCACTACCCATCCCTGACTTACTGCAACTCTTAACTCCTAGAAAAGACATTCCTTATTGTTATTTAAATGAATTTTGAAATATGAAAAGATTTGCTTGCAATCCTGACTCAGCTGGAGGCTGCCAAATGTGCAAACAGGACACCAGAATTAAGGCAAACATTAGTAGGGGTGCTTGAAATAAATCTTTGCTCGAATAACCACAGACTCTCTGGTTTGAAATATTTCAGTGTTCATGATGTTAAGGAACTCCCCTCTGCCAACTGAAGGTTAATTTTTCAGCATCGTAAAATGAATAAATAAAACAAATGATGGCAAAGTCAGGAATGTTGGTTGTTTTTAAAATGCTTGGTTCTGTAATTCCATGATGTTCTGCCACCACTTATGTCCTCTGTGCATCAAATGTAACCAGCTCCTCGTATTTACATTGTCCTCCCCTTCCCTGGCTTTGCTCCCCTGCAGAAAGTCCGAAGCATGGCCCTGGAGGACGTGGTGATTCTGAACGTGGACACCAACACGCTGGAAACGCCTTTCGATGACCTTCAGAGCCTCCCCAATGACGTGGTAGGTGTGGAGAGATGGATCCCAACTGCTGCTCCTCGGGGCTGTCCCTGAGTGCTCAGCAATGTTTCAACATTTGCAGACACTCTTTGAAGCCTCCTAATGAAAATGAGCCAGTGCTCGTGGGAGCTGGGAGTGCTGCACTGGTAGATAAGTTTTGTTTCCAAATGAAATTGGATGGGCTTGTTCCTGGGACTGCTTCCAGGTGAGCGTTTTAGATCCTGGGATATGATGGGGAATGGATTCCTACATAGTCCCTTCAGGCACTGATAGAATTCAGAATTTATTTGCTTTCTCATTCTTGCTTTTTCTTGGTAAATTATTTACTTTCCTTAATAACTTGATAGAAATGTTGCATCTTTCCCTTTAATGGGATGTTTCCCTTTGATGGGACACAAAGACATCCTGCTTGCCTCTGGAATCATCCCCACTAAAGAAGCCAAAGGGAAAAAAAAGCAGAGAAGTGTCTGAGAGTGGAAGAAACTGTTTCCAGGGCAGAGGGTGAATGTTTAGGAGAACATGGCAGGGAAAATCTGGATTTCTTTTGTTCCATGAAGATATTGTGCTGACAGGGAGAGCTGAACCTTTTTATGTGCAGTTGGGAAAGAAGAGTGGTACACAGGGAGCTCAGTCTAAGCTGGTGTGTGTGAGGAGGAGCTGCAGGGATGGTGAATGGGCAGTGCCTCCTGCAGTGACCCCCAGCATTCCCCTGGGATCTGGATCCATCCTGCCAGAGCAGGGAGCTGGGGAGGAAGGGAAAGGGCCATCTTGATTGGGAGCAATTTGGCTTTAACCAAGCATTCAGTCTATAAAAGTTGCTTCCACGAATTTTTCTGGCTTTATATAGTTTTTCATTTTGATTTCACTCCCAGCATCCAAATCTGCCAGCTGGTCACCGCTCGTGCCATTATCCACAACCCGGGGATGACAGACCTGTAAATTTCATGGAATTATGTAAGAAATGTCTGGGTACAGTGAGCATGGGGCCTCAAACATGTATATGATTTGTCAACAATCAAGTATTATATTAGATTTTATGAGGCTTCATTAAAGGGGCTGTTGTGGGCGCACTGTAGAACATCAGAAGAGACTCCTGCAATAAACACAGAACTTCAAGCTTTGGAATGTAATAAATTTTAAGAGACTTCCTTCCTTTCATTATTTACTTTTACTTCACTTTTATAACAGTAGAGAGTTGTGTTTTATTAGTTCAAATTTCTTGATTCAGTTTTCCACAGGTCTCTTTAAAAGCTGCATTTTATCTGGGAGGATGTTTAGAGCAGAGCAGAGGAAGTGCTGCCAGCAAATTCAATTAACTGGCAGGGCTCACCAGTAGCGTACGTGGGGTAGTTTTTTTCCCCAAGTGCTCTATAAATACAGCTGGGATTAATATTTTTCCCCACAAAGCTTTAACTCGGGTCGTGGTGCGCGGTGTAATTAATGTTTGGGACGGGGGTTCCTGTCGGCTCTGGCTCTCTGCATTGTCCCAGGTACCTGGATGGGGCAGTTTTCCCCTCCAGGTCTCTCCCTTCACACTGTTCCAGAGTTGGCTTTGACCACTAGAGAGCAGCTGCTCTGCTGTGCAAGAATTGAATTTCTGTCAGTTCTTTCATGCATCATGTGTTTGGAACTGTAAGTGGATCAAGTTGTTCATCTCAGCAGGGAGACTCTAAAGCCAATCCATTATACTTTTTTTTTTCTTTTTTTTTTTTTTCCCCCTTTTTGCTTCCCTGGGAGGATGGGCAGGTTTTGGGAGCGTGTCTCCCCTCTGCTCTTGGTCTAAGTAGGTGCATTTATGATCTGAGAAGCTAAAAATGTCTTCAGGAGTTTCCTGATCATAAATGCTTGTTATGTCAAACTACTCTGTCAGCTTTGCTACTTAATGTGAACAGTGAGCAATTCATGCACTGCTGAATAGACAAAATTTACTTTGCTAAATTAAATCTATCTATATTCAGCAGTGAGGAAAAACATCTTCTGTGTGATGCATTCACCATCAGGTAATTAATCCAGTGGAAAATTTCTAAAGCTGTTCTTCCTCCCCTCCCTCCTTGATCAGCTTTTTAAACGGAGTGAATGAAGTCCAGTGGTTATTTTAGAGCCTCAGGTAGTGCACTGTGCTTGAGTTTCATGACAGTGATGTTGCTGCCTGAACTGCTGGTTCTTGGGAACCTAGAAGGAGCTATTCTTTAATTCCTAGGATCCAATCAAACATAGGGTCAAACATAGGACAGTTAGCATTTGTGTCAGAGGAGCTGCAGAGCATCGGGGCAGTTCCAGCAGACTCAGATCGAGTTGTTTCTTTGCCCCTCTTACCTCAGCAGTACCTGTTGGCTGTCACTGAACTGGCCAGGAAAACCAAGGTGTTTGTGTGCTATTTGTTACTGATTCACTGTCTGAAACGTGAAAAACTGTCCCCCCTTCACCTCCTGCTTCTGATGTATTGCTGAAAATCTGGCAGCGTGAGAGCACCCCGGGAAGCAACTTTCCTTTTAAAATAGTCATTATTAAAAAAAAAAGAGATTTATTAAGGACTGTGATTACAATAAGTGCATCTGCTGCTGACAAGTCTCCTACTCCACCGTCTGTGTTGCAACGAATGGCAAAGAGGGGGTAGCAATTTATTTCTTTTTTATGCAACCCTTATGGATTTTTCGTGTATTTCCAAATAAGTGTCATCTCTAGTGGTGGCTGCAGCCAGGGCTGCAGGCCAGGCTGGCTCTGTGGGTGTGCAGTTGTGGTGGGTGAAGCCCTGGCACGGGCAGGCAGAGTGTGTGCCCCAGGGCAGCTGCAGGGCTGGGGCTGGCAGAGCGGGCACTGCAGTGCCCTGGGGACCTCAGTGCTTCCCTCACCACTCACAGGGAGGAAGCTGCTCTCACTGGTTCCCACTCAGGGAAATGAGCTGCTCCCAGGACAGCCACAAGTACCAAACCACAGCTCTGCAGCCAAACCATCTTCCTAAAGGTGACTCTGTTTTTATTCCTTACGCCGTGTTTGCGGCTGAGGGTTTCTTGCTTTATTCATGTTGACAACTGAAAAGCCTCGGACCTAATTAAAAGAATTTCCACTAGCACCTTTACTGAACCATTTCATTCTGCTGCATTGCACAGATTGCATTCTGAAACATGGTGAGAGTTGAAATCGGACCTTTAAACCTCAACTGCCAGAAGTATAAAAATCTTTAAAAACACTCTCAGGGTAGACTGCATGTATATGTGTCTGTTTGGCTAGAAATAATCCTCGTTTTCAGTGGTCACAGTCTCTTAGGTTTTTTTAAGTATGACTGCCTCTTTTGGCAGGAAACAACCCTAATTCTGCTCATATCGTCTTCTTTGAGTTAGGAACTAATTTATTCCATAGAAAGTATGAGGGGGTTTTTTTGTTACTTTTTAGTCTCTTTAAACATGTTGTTAACATTTTTTTTTGTTGTTAAAAAACTACGGCATACCTATTGCAGTAATCCTGGATATATATAAAACAGACATGCTACAGTGTTCAAGGAATTATCAAAATACCTGTCAATATTCTACTTCTGCACCAACCAGGGGAGCTGAAGCGCAGAAAGGCTGTGACCAGCCCTCTGAACTTCTGCTTTGTTTAAAATGAAGCCTTTTCCTTCTATATAGACAGCAAGTTCTGCATCTTCACAATAATGTTTAAAGAAAGCCCTTTATAACAGTGTTTGAGATGGATTTAAAAGTTGCTCAGAGCTCTGGACATTTTACTGCACTTTTAAGAACTACCTTTAAATGGTTTTACATAAGTTGGTATGGGAAATAAATGCATATTTCATCCCTAAAAGTTCAGACCCCTTCGAGCATGAAATGTGCTGTTCAGGTTTGAAAATCTGGTGAAGCTTTTACATTGAGAGAATTACAGAGCTCCTTGAGGGGCATTATTTCAGTGAATAGGACTGAGCTTATTTTATGGGTATGAGATTAAATCTGGTATCATGTGTTGTGTTAATGTGGGTTTGTGGGCTCACTAATGCATGGATCACTGGCATAAGCCACAGCACTCCGATTTATAAACAGTGCTGGACACGCTCTTGGTTATTTCTGTTACACTAAATAACTGTAATGAAATGCCTCCTACAGCAGAATCCGCAGAATATTTAAAAGGAAACGTTTTTGCAACTGTTTTGGCAAACACAAGTGCAAAGATAACATCCAGTTCTGAGAGGAAAAGCAAGCGGTGCCCAGCATGGATTCAATATTTCACACCAGTGGAGCAAGATGAGGAGTCACTCACCCTCCCCAGACCCAGGACACGCAGGAGCACTGAGGAGTGTGCTTCCAGGAGGGGTGTGCTCCCAGGAGGGGTGTGCTCCCAGGAGGGGTGTGCTCCCAGGAGGGGTGTGCTTCCAGGAGGGGTGTGCTCCCAGGAGGGGTGTGCTCCCAGGAGGGGTGTGCTCCCAGGAGGGGTGTGCATCCAGGAGGGGTGTGCTTCCAGGAGGGGTGTGCTTCCAGGAGGGATGCGACTGCAGCCGGTTCTGCAGGGCTGTGGGGGCCAGGAGGGGCCATGAGGGGCCCATGAAGGGCCCTGAGGTGCTGTGAGGGTCTGTGAGGGTCTGTGAGGGGCCGTGAGGGGCCGTGAGGGGCCGTGAGGGTCTGTGAGGGGCCGTGAGGGGCCGTGAGGGGCCATGAACGGCTCTGAGGGACGGCTGAGGCAGGCACAGCTCAGCCCTGGACAAACTGCTTCAAAACCATCTGAAAACAGGCAGAACAGCCCATGGCAGGGTGAGGAAGAGTGTGAGGGAGAAGGAGTGTCCGGGAGCAGCTCTTGGGACCGGTGTGGGCAGAGGGGAGGCGGGAGCAAGGCGGGGAGCTGAGCTGGGAAAAGGCGGCGATGGAAGGTGTCTAAAGTTTCTTTGTTTCTTGCTATCTGGCTGTATATTAATTGGCAATAAATTAAATTAATTTTCCTAATTCGACCTCTTTGCTCATGGGTCTGTATGTCCCTGCCTGAGCCCACAAGTGTGCTGTGTGTGTTTGCTCCCCGAGTGCTGCTGAGGGGTGGTGGGGGAACCCCCCAGCCTCAAATACAGCTCTCACAGGGTTATTGCCTATCAAGTCTGTGATATACAAGAGAATACAGCCTTAAAAAAACCTTGGATTTGTGGCAAACAAATTTTTCAGACCTCCTGAATTTGATCTTAGGTGATGGATGGCCCAGCTATGCAGAGCAGTTTCTCTTATTAATCTGATGTTTGACTTAATTTATCTGTAATTCTTTCCTGGATTCTAATTAAGAATGACACAGAACTTCATGGACTACCTTTAAAACAGTACTGAACAGCATGTTAACAGTGGATTTTAAGTAGGAGGGAAGGTTCAATGAAGCTTTTATTGTCCTATTGGTTTCTGAATAGAATCCAATTGTATCTTGGAGAGGCAAAACAGCTTGAAAAGTAATGCTTTTAGAACTGAAAAATTCAACTCTGAATTCACAATGTGGCCTTTTGTCATAACTGCTGCTGTGGTTAGCACGTTTTTCATTTAGCTGTGCCCCAATGTGTTACGCTTTGTTTGTGACAGGAGAGTGATCTAGACCTGCTGTGTGATTTCAGGTTTCTGCACTGAAGAACAGATTGAAGAAAGTCTCTACAACCACTGGAGATGGTGTGGCAAGAGCGTTTCTAAAAGCGCAAGCAGCTTTCTTCGGGAGCTACAGAAACGCCCTGAAAATTGAACCTGTAAGTAGGCAATTAGTAGGAATAAGATGTAAATCTGCAGCTGTGGTGGAGGAAAGAACCTAACAATTTGAAGTGTAGCATAACCTGCTTTTACCAAGGTCAGCATGGTGGCTCTTTGGCTGACTAGTACAGAAAACAGTGTTCAAGTCTCCAAAATGAAAGAGCTGCAACGAGCACGATCCTTCACGCGGGGAGAAACCTGCTCATGGAACGGTGTGGGTGTTGTTTGGTTTTTTCACTTTTTTGGTACTTGATCGTGGTTTTTGTTGCTTCTGGTGAGCCACCTGTCCCTGGGTTACTGCAGGTATCTTCATGGACCTCAGTGCAACGCAGTCCTGCCAAATTAATGTATTTCCACACGTTGTGTGACACTCTGGTTTTGGTACCGTGTCCTTTTAAAGTGTGTGCATTTGCTGATAGACAGGGACAGGGTGAACGGTGTGAGGAACATCCGTGTGTAATTCATGAGATATGTCCCAGAAATAAGGAGGATGAAATGTCCTAACTGCAGAGTGATCCCCAGAATATTTCCAGAATGTTCTGTGTTCCTCTTTCTGAAGCAGGGCAAGCACACACGTGCGAGTCCAATGCAGTGGTAAATCCCAGTTCATGGCCCACTTTGAACTGCTGTTGTTTAGACCTGTAGCTGCTTAACAAGCTCTCTGTAGAGGACAAAATAGCCTTTTGTCTTAATACCTCCTTTTCTCAGCATCAAGCATTTGGAGGCCAAAAGCCGGACAACAAGCTGGAAAATAGTGTTTCTTGAGGATGTTTCAGTAACTGAAGTGTCTTCAGCCGCCACATAAGCATCATATCAACAATTCCTATTCAGGGTTCAAAAATGAACTTCCGAGTGCCTCCCACATCTTACGGGGGAATCAGGACCAATAAATTGTATTGACTCGTGTGTGCATGTCTGGGTGTAAGGACCAGGCTCAGGTGAAATCAGGGAGTGTTTCAGCTGGGGCCATGTGAGAACAGCCCTGCAGCCAGCCAGGCACTCTGGCCCAGCGCCTCCCTCATCCCTGCCGGAGACACCGCCTGCCCTCCATCCCCTGCTCCGCCCGCCGGTTGCCAGGCAACTCTGGGAATACTGGTGCGTGCTTTGCCTGGGTGCGTGTGTGAGATTTAACTAGTTAGGGGGTTTATGAAGGAAAAATAAAAATTTAAATTGCTGTTCTGGAAATACCATCTGGTATTTTGAAGGCTGAACGCGAAGGATGAGCATTTGAGATGAGCTGACGGTGGCACATCCCTAGAAAGTACAACTTGGAGGGACAGCTAACCTGAGGTTTGGTTTCCTTGTCATTCCATCCGAGAAAACCTGTAAACATAGAAATATGTCATAAAATCCAGTTTAGTAATTGGGAAGTGGAAATTTTCAGGGATTTCTTTCCTAAGTCCTTCTGTATATCAAAAATTTAGTTTCTGATTATACCTTTCAATATTACATTTAGATAAAGAAAATCTGCAAGTGTTTCGTGTTCATGTGTCACCTTCACGTGGGGTAAATAGGAGGCATAAGCAATACCAAATATGATGTGGTCCTTTGCATTTCATGGCCTGTAACCCAAGGAATCTGACTGTTCATTTAAAATCATCGATAATTAGGAAATAAATTCAAAGAAGCAGCACCTTTTCCTCCTTTCATAAGACAGTTTAATTTCATAGGCCGTCTCACTGGTGTGAGCTGACTTTTTGGGATAAATGGTGTGAATTGATTTTTCATTATTCAGTGTAGGCCCAGAACGTGTCACAGAGCAGACTTTAAATTCCCATTATTATACTTGAGCATAGTAAGAGCTCTTGTTCTGTTCAGAGGCTTTTATTGCAGAGGTGGAAGGTTGTGTAATGTACGTGAACACCAGAACCCTGACAAGAAGTTTCTGTTGCCATGAACTTTCTGAGGCCTTTGGTAACCAGAAATTGTGGGGGAAAACATATCTAGGTAATACAATTTGCAAGTCTAATACTAAGGTTTACTTGACAAAATAACTGACTCAGTGCTGTTCCCTGCTGTGTTTGCTGCAGTTGCATTAAGCTGGATGCACAGAGGAGTCAGGAGTGTTAGGAGTGATGTGTGTGCAGTCACCACACACCTCTGCTGATCAGGACAGCTGAATCCAGCAGCAATGGGGTGTTTTCTGGGCTCTGTTGAGGCTGTATTGATCTTCCTGGGTATGACTTCAATTTCTACCAGTGACACCAACGTGGGCATTTTGTTCCCTTGAGTGGCTTTTTCCAAATTCCCATTTTGCCATTGTCCAAACCCCCGATTCCCACAGCAGGTCCCCTCAGAGCTGTGTGGAGGGGTTTGCAGCACTGAGCCGGTGGGTGATGTTGGGAAGGCATGCTCGGAGCTGTGGCCGTGCACTTTCTTCTGCTGACACCTAGTGGTTCCTCACATTCCATTCGGGTTCCTTCCCGGGGTTTGTGAGGGAACAACCCCTCACACCTGGCAGTAAAGGTGAGCTCCAGGTGCAGCTGCCCCAGAGCAGGGGCTGTGGGGGGTGTGTCGGTGGTGCTGGTGCAGCCCCAGTGCACTCGAGAGCAAACAGAAACTCTCAGGGGCAGGGTCGGTGTACTTTTCCGCTTGCACCCTTGTCCTGTGCTTCCTTTGTGGAGTACTTGCTGATTTGTGACTGGCCTATCCTAATATGAAACTGCTTATTGAATCTCCAGCTTTCACACTGCTTTGGCTGAGCTATGGTGTGTATGTCTTGGTGCTGCCTTCGTTCTGTTGTCCTCCCCAAGCCTGATCATTTAGAGCTGGATTTTAAATAGAGGAGACAATGTACTACCATTTGTCCTAATTGTAACTTTGCTACGAATTTACTCTGAATATGATGCAATTTGAGCAATGAAGCCATTACAAATAAGAGGAAATCTTCTTTTGCAATATAACATTGAATTCAACCTCAGGAAATAATTAATGCATTAATCATTTTATATCAATCTCTTGAATGGAGCACAATAAATTCCTTCAGCAATTCCAGATCCATGAGATCAGAGTGGGACAGAAGTCAGAAAAGTAGATGGTATTTGGTGCAGAGTGGAAAAGCAAATGCCAGATGAGTCTAAAAGGACATTTTGTTGGAATATGTGTGCAGTAACATAAAGTGCATGCTACATACTGGTGCATAATTCATTTTGCAAAGGCTTTGTGGCATTCAGTGCTTTATCTACTATGAAGTATGATTGTTGCCATGGTGAATTATTTTTTTAAGTTATTCAGTGGAAGAGTAAATAGTTGTTTCCAACTCCCAGTAATTGCCACATTTCAGCCCCTTCCTCTCCATAACCATCTTCTGCATAGGTTTTTTTCCCCTGCACGTATATTTTAAAGGCATACACTGTAGATTCTTCCCTGTCACCAGAGCTGTGTCAATAGGTCAGAGCTTTAGGAATGTTTGTCTACCTATAGAAAATATGAGAAAGGTGATCGATCCCTAATGCTTAAATAACTTGTGCACAGAGCTGTTAAAATTAACCCTGAGCTGTCGGGCAAACAGTGAGCAGAGGCTTATTAATAGAACTTGTTTTACTTGCACTTTTGTTGTGTTCCTTTTAAAGTGTTGATGCAGAGCATTAGGAATTTTCTGCCACCCGTCTTTGCTGTTCTCCTGTTCGTGTGGTGTGAGCTCTCACATCCGAGAGACAGTCTAGGAGTGCCTAAATGACAGTCATTTCTAAGTCTCATCCTGATGACTTTGCTAACAGATTGGAGTAGACAATGAGAGTGGCACTGACAGTGTGTAAAACCTGATGTTTCTGTGATAAAAATGGAGATAAAGTGAATTTTTGTATATTCTGGAACCGAAACGTGAGGCTTTATTCCCCTCTGACGATTCTGTGTTTTGTGGCATTTTGAAGACCCAAGTTTTTGACAACCTCCCTTAGAAGTCACCTGTAACTATTGTTATGTTTCCCCATCTATGGGAAGTGCTCTAGGAGCCATACTAACCCGAATTCAGTCACTGACTGGAAAAGATTTAGTGGGGAAAGACAGTTTTGTTTGTTTTCTGTGTGGTGTTTGTTTTCATTTCAATCCTCTTGCTGTTTCCTCTCTGAGCCTTATTGTTGCTATAGACAAGTTTCTGCTTTTGCTGTTTTAAACCTTAAAAATGCTCTTTTTCTAACAAGCATTTACTGTTCTTCAAAATGCATTTATTATTCTACATCTAAGTCTGTTGAGATATACATATGTTAATGAAACTGAAAAGGCACTCTCTTTAATCTCTTCTAGCAGTCTGGTATGTAGTAAATAGAATTGTTTTGTAATTTCCAAACTGTTATAAGATGCTGTGTTCTCTAATTTTGTGTGCCACGCTGAGGGGAGGGGGGAACCCAAGATTCTGGGGGAAAGGTAATGAAAAGCAATATTTGAGAAAGTAAACGTGACCCTCTGGTGAACGGGGCATTTCTGCCATGCAAGGTGCACTCAAACTTCCCTGCCCATCATATGTACCACAGTAAAAACCCACCAAAACCCTCAACAAACCAAAAAAGGAAACACCCCCCAAATCCATGGTGGGAATGGCTTTGTGCTTGGCTCGAGGAACGCGGCCCAGGGTCTGGGGTGGGAGCTCTGCACGCTGTGGGGCACTGGCAGCAGCAGCAGCTGGCACGTGCTGGTTGGCACTGGTGTCAGCTCTGAGGGCTCACCTGCTCCTGCTGAGGTTTTAGGGCTCTCTCAGTTTGTGGCCCCTGTGACGGGGCTGAGGAGAAGTGTCTTGGGTTTGGCTGTGTAACTTTGCAGCCCCTGCAGCAGTTGCGTGTTCAGCCTGGATCGGTCACTCTGCATCCTCGGCGGTGCTGCAGAATGAAAGGAGCTTTGTTCCAAAGCCTCTAAATCTCCCTATTACCCGGGCAGGCTGAGCAGTCAGGAGCAGTGCGTGGTACTCAGCTTTGCTCTGCGAGGATTTGGATATTCAATTATTCGTCTGTGCCTATCGCACCTGGTTTGGGGGTTTGTTTGCTGTTTTATGCACTTGTTTTTG